CTGAGGAGAGACCACAAATACAACATTAGATGGACCACAAATAAAACATCAGAGGGACCACAAATCTTCACCAGTAGCGGGACCAGAAAATAATCAAAGTTAAATGGACAACAAATTTTCACTAGCAGAGCGACCACAAATAAAACATCCGAAGGACCACTAATATTCACCTTTAAAGGGACCACAAATAAAACATCAGGGGGCCACAATTATTACCCATAAGGGACAACAACTATTCACCATTAGAGATATCACAAATAAAACATTAGATGGACCACAAATATTCAAAGTTAAATGGACAACAAATATTCGCTATCAGTTGGACTACAAATATTCACCTTTCGAGGGACCATAAATAAAACATCAGGGCGACCACAAATATTCACTATAAGGGACCACAACTATTCACCATTAGACAGGATCGTCTCAAGGGGGGGAGGGGGTTCCAGTTTTTACCCGGGGACAAAGTTTCGATTTGCACCCCCCCCCTAAAACTTTCGATTTGCATCCCCCCTCATACTTTTTATATATATACCGAGTGGTCTATGGGGGGGGGGGGGGGGGTTATGTCCCCCTAACCCCCCCCCCCCCCCCGCCTACGCCACTGCCGTTAGAGATACCACTAATAAAACATTAGAGGGACTACTAATATTCATATGTAGAGGGACCACACATATTCACCTTTAAAGGGACCAGAAATAATCACCATTAGATGGATCACAAATGTTTAGTGTAGGAGGTTTCTGAGTTCACCCATCCCTTCATATGCCGAGGTCAAGAAACATGTGAACTCTACTTCTTCTGCTCTATTGATCATAAGTTGTGAAACGAACATAAAAAAACTCACACGTGCCCGCAATCACACACGTATAAAATATGATTAATACAGTGTGTCCCATTTCTCTCAAATACAATTATATTTAATCAAAATAAACGCCCGGGGCGAGTCATCATATACACCCCCCAACTCCCCTCCTAGAGCCGCCATTGATCAGAATTTGTAGGCCACACATGCTTGATTAGACAAGCGTATGCACAAGCCTATGGGATGCATGTCTACAAATGCTTATCTTTCCTGTACGGGAGAGGGGAATTAAAGTGCAATCTAAGTGTCGAAATCAGACATCTTCAGCCCAACTCCACATCATTAATACCCCGTTTAACTGGACGCAGCCAATCGAAAGTTTGATTATTCGATTATCCCCCATTGGCTCGAACATTTCCTATAACCAATAGAAAACCGCCTTGTGTTGTTTAGTTACCGGCTCCAGGACATGCTATTCACGATCTGATCACTGCTCTATTTATATATTTTATTTTTAGCTGGGTTCAGCGGGCTTGTTCGCATAGGGGTGCAGGGAGGGGGGGGGGGGAGGGACAATGGCTGGTGTGGGGGGGGGGTGGCTTGGATGTTATTAGACCTATCCATTCTCCCCGAAATTGGGAATATATGTGGATATATATAGATATACGTTGTTCTGTTTGTGTGTATTTGTAAAGCCACACGAAGGTCTGAGTAGGGACATACCCCCTTAAGGATATTTCTATATTTTTCTAGCCTTTCCCTCCCCCCTTAAAAAAACAACATCAGACAATAATTGCTTGTGGCTAGTGGATTAGTACTATACAATATATACATAATTTCTTTCAGACATGTGTCCAGGGGGTGGGGCACTTGAAACTTTCGGAAGGCGGTGGGGGGGGGGGGGGGGTACTTAAAATATCCCAGGGGGGGAGTGCGCTATTTAATGTATGTACTATTTGTTTTCATTTCGTTCTGATGATTGAGGTTGGGGGGGAGGGGATTGAGTAGACGTGCTGTGGGTGGAGGTGGGAAGAGACAAGCGTCCCCCCCCCCCTCCAGAATAGATTAAAAAAAACGTTGACTCTAAGTAACTTTAACAATAGCCCTGATCTTAGCGCTGATCTCAACCCCGACCCTAACACCGATCTTAGTAGGAAAACATTTCTCCTCTATCCTATCAGTCTCATTTCAATATTGTAATAGCATTAACAAATCGAAAGTAGAATAAAAAAAACTAATATAACAGACTAAAGCTGAGCAAATGTAAACGGGTCTAAGGTTTACAACGATGCAGGTGATTGTTGTGTCACCTTTACCATAAACACTACTTAGCCCGAAGGTACAGTTCGAGTCTTAAGACTAAATACAAATAGTATGGTCGAATCATGAAAAAGTTAAATTTTAATGTCTCTGATCGGTCAGAACATTTTTTTTCTCTCAGTAGGTTGTGAGGATGGGAGGGGATGCAACTGGGTGTGTAGAGGTAACCTGGTAAAATTTATAGGAAGAAATCAAGATTTGGAACCCCCCTCTCCTAAAAAAAAGAACATCGTGAATGACCATGCAGTTTTATGGTTGTAAAAACAAAAGTATAAAAAGTATCTAAATTTAAAGCTTTAGTTAAGTCGTGGCGAGCGAAGGGGTGTCCGACCAAAGGCGACTGAACTGATACAATAACATATATACAAGAAGCTACATAATCGAGATTAAGCATTTTAACGCCACTAACATTGGGGGAAAAAAAACAACAAGAATGTAGATTTAATTAACGGTGACCTGAAAGCTGCGAAACGGAAAACTTCGCACAAAAAAGTTTGACGGCATTTTAGTTTTCTTAAATCAAGCATTTACTGACTAAATGTACACTGTAGTATAATAAAACATATTTCTACAAAATATGAAAGAATTAAGGTGTATTAGTATAATTAGTTTTTATTTACGCATTTTTCTAATTGCGCATTCTTCTGTTGCGCATTTTTTCAGTTGCGCATTTTTCTGGGAACCTAAATTAATGAAAGGAAGTAAGGTTTTAGGTTTGTGTTTGTGTTACCAGGTAAATGCAACTTTGATAAAATCCATTTGGAAAGTTTTGAAAGAAGAGGCGTTATTATTGGATTATGAGAATGTTTAAAATTACCCAAAGTAAGCGCGCGTGTTGCAGTATGAAACCAACATTCCTGTCGGTTAATTCAATGAGCAAAAACTGCACTCATTCAAAACTAGTAATTATATTATTATTATCTCAAAACACGACAGCTCGTAGAATATTGACAGATTCTGTAAATTTAGAAAATTCCATGATTTAAAAAAAACATAAAATAATCACGTGACAGCTATTTATAAAGCTGAGGTTTGAGATTTTTTTATGACAATTTTTGTGTGTTCTCTTTTCTTTAAAATCATCACCCCTTCCCCCCAACCCTGCCCCCCCATCCCCCCCCCCTTCACCATCCCACACACAATTACAAAATACAAAATCATTTCATCCTCTAGCGGTCTTTTCGCAGGTTTTGCAATGTCTTTTAAAATATATACTAGATGCAGCATATCTTAATGAAATTCCTTCGTGTTCAGTGTTTCTTTTTTCTACTTGATGGGGGGGGGGGGGCACTAGAAACTTTCGAGGTGGGAGACTTCAATTCCGTGAGAAAGGATACTGGTTTAAGTATATATTTTCTATATAATTTGTTTTCTATTTCATTTGGTGGGGGGGGGGGGGGGGGGTCGGTGGGGGGGGGAAGGCGGTGACTCCTGCGAAGATATTCACGAAAGAAACTGTGTGTGGTGTCTTTCATGATCATAGACTGTCAAACACGCTTGTTTTAGAATGCAGCGTCGCCTTTATCCGTGGGCCAAACGGGCATCTGGCCGGGGCCCCAAATGATGAAATAGTTTTTCGCAAAAAGTGAAGCTAATTTTTACGTAGATGTCTACTATTTGATTGTTTAACTCCGCGTAATGAGTGAAGACTGGGACAGAGCTGAAGTATATAGAAGCACTAGTGGGTGGCGTAACACCCAAACTGGATTGTGGCGGGGGGGGGGGGGTAGGGTTTGTCATGATGTTTTACTTTTGGAGGGTTCAAAACATGTGATGATTATTTTGTCTTTAAACATGTTTTTAATATAAAGAGTATGGACTTTTTCGTTAGAGTTACAGGTATTTAGTCCATGACGGATACTTGTATATGTGTGTGAGTGTGTGGGGGGGGGGCGCACTAAGATTTCTCTCTCAACCTTTGCCGGTATGGTCTAAAGAAACGCTAGGCATTACTTTAGGTACCAGCTTCGTTAGCAATAAATGCCGATGGGAAAAAATTAATAAATAATTACATTTCATACATTAACGAATAGCCTGCACTGATTTTTATTTTAAAGTTAATTGTACTAAATCTTGCATCCTTTTATTTTCACCTCTCCTAAAATCGTTCCTGTGGTCTGTCGATATGCCACACTTTATTTTTCTCGATGAAATTGAAAGATTCTCCAAAAGAGACACAATTCTCCAATGCTATTGTGCGGGATATATGTAACCAGGGGCGGCTCAATTAGATTAAGCTGGAGAAAATCTGTCCGATTTTTGCAAGGATGTTTCAATCTTCTCCACATGGGGTTAGGTGTGGACAATGCACGTGTGTGTGTGGCGGGGGGGGTGTGGGTCGGGATATTGAGTTAAGGTCAGGTTAGATAGAGGGGGTGCTGGGAAAAAGTGGGATTTTGAAGTGAGATGTGTTGGGTGGGGGGATTTCGATTTCGGATGACTTTGAGGGAATTTCAGGTTAGAGGTGTGTGGGAGAGGGATGGCGTGGTATAGAGGTAGAGCGTTAGACTGCCAACTCAAACGTTTTGAGTTCGGATCCCGGGTTTGTGTCTGTAGGAAGTGCTTGAGTCCGTGCAGCTCTGATTGGAACCTGACTCATGTTAGGAAAACAAAGGCGGATTGACATAGTGCTGACCACACTATCCTCTTGTATGCAGAGGTAATTGAAACAGATGTAACTACTTCATCTGCTTAATTTGTCTAGGGCACAAAAGGGAAAAAATTAAATGAAATATGTATGGTGAGTAGATTCTCGTGAAAATTGTGTTATTGGAGTTTTGAAGAAAAGATAGTTACAGTGAAACTTTGACCGATAGCGTCGGGTAGGATTTCTACGTTACATTGTGTAGGAATTTGATGAAAACTGTAAGGGTGG